GAAGAGATCCAAAGGGCAGTATCTGGCTGGAGCTCGGCGGGTTAGGGGAGAGCAGGGAAGGAAACAGGAGACACGGGAGGCAGTGGGAACTGCAAGGGTCATGGCGGGATTGCAGCGGATGAGAGGAAGCATGTGTCCAGACTACGGACTGTCGATGGGAAGAAAAGCCGATGCCCTGCCTGGTCTACTCTCACCCAACTCGCCGCAAAAAGCAGCACCCGGCCCCGCCCATGACCTCTGCGGAGCCACCCGGCGTGGCACTGTCCCAGTGGACATGTGACTCGAGGCGTCTGTGAAAACCCACAGCACAGAGAAGGAGCCCGAGTGGGAGCACCCGCCTCTCCTGCTTTGGAGGGGCCCCGCGTCACGACGACTCAAGCAGTCGCCTGGTCCTGGCCCGTCCTCTCGGTCATCCGGGTACGTGAGTCCGTTGTGTTAGCTGATGTGTCCGTGCATCTCATGGGCCAGGCGGTAGGTTAGTTAGGGAGCGTGTCAACTAGCCACTCCTGGCTAGGGGCGGAGTCAAACCTGTCAATCAAGTCACAGCCAGAGGACACCTCCTTGATGTCCTAAGCCTTGCCCCTCTGCCTTGCTGCCTGAGGAAGCTCTGCCTGCCTCGAGAGGTGGCCCCATGTGGACCACTCAGCCAGCCCTGAGAGTTGCCGGCACCCCACCACGTCCCACCGACCTAGGAGCCACGTGACACTGCACACACACACACACACACACACACACACACACCTGCCCCCCAAACCTGTGGTCTTTCAGCTTCCCGCTTCACCATGCTGCCTCCCTGTGGCGGCATGGGTCTGACAGGTTCAGACTCCGTGCACGATTACTTCGCGATCTAAAGCTCTTTCTTATACAGAGATGAGTTACTGGATTCGTTTCTAGACAACATCGGCCCAACACAGACCGTTTCTCTCGTTTTCTCTGACCCTCCACCTTAGCCACTGCTGTGTCCGTGCCAACAAAACTGCTCTTTCCTGAGGAGGGGTCCCAAGTTATGGAGCTTTCCGATGAGCATTCACGCTGGACTTCCACCAAGACTACTTGGTTTGTTCTTCTGCCAAAGCAGTTGCCATCCAGTTGCGGTGGCCTTTGAAAAACAGCCCCATGGGGTTTCCCAGAGTGTCATCTTGATAGGAGGTCAGCGGGTTGTTTCTCCCGCTGGGTAACTGTGGTTCTGACTGTCAACCTTTCCACTAACGGCCGAACGAATACCCCTCCCCCACCAGAGCGCCCAGTTCTTCTGGCAGCCCTGGGCGTCAGGAGAAACAGTCCCTGAACAGGACACCACACTTGGAAAGGAAGAGGGAGAAGGAAAAGGCGTGGGGCAGGCCCAGGCAGTCTTTCCTTCTGTGGTCTGTACAATTGCTGCGAATCAGAAGTGACTTGATGGTGACCATCTGGGCCGCAAGGTCAGCTGTTCAAAGCCACCAGCCGCTCCGAGGGAGGACGATGAGACTTTCTACTCCCACAAGATGCACAGTCCTGGGAACCCAGAGGTGAAGGTCTACTCTGTCCTAGAGGGTTGCTATGAGTCAGAATGACTTGACGTCAGTGGGTTTTTTGTTTTGCTTTTACAACAACCTCGGATCATTGGAGGGAGCGCCCTTCTGCCCTGAAGCGGAATGGCGATGCGTGTGCTCTTCTAGGCCCCTGGTACCTGTTCCAGGTGGAGGCTCCTGTCCCAGGGCAGCCAGGATTGCTGGCTAGAAAGGTGACCTAATTATTAACGAGAGCCTCGGAGGTGCAAGGGAAGACATAGCCCGCTCCTGGATGACTTCAGAAGGTGCGGGTAATGGGATCATGGAGTTAACCTTGTAGAAAAACACGATGGGCCGTATCACGTATGAATCTTGTCGCCTCCCCCACGGCACGCAGAGGGCACAGGCACCAGCCATTCATAGAACAGCCTCGCTTTTCCCACGGATGGGTGGGCGCTCCTTGTCCTGGGAAGATGTTTCTAGTTCACATTCAAGGGTCATTGGCCGAGACCCACAAGCCACCTTCGAAGGGCCAGGGTCCCCGAGAACAGAAGGACTGGCACGCCTCCCCCTGCTTTTCATCTCGTCTCTCCTCTCTTCCGAGGGGCTTCTAAGCCCCGGAGGGCCCTCTGATGGAGAACCAGCTTCTCCAAAGAGTGTGAATGGTTCAGGCACCTGGAGGCTCAGCAAACGGTTCGAGGTTCAAGTCCACCCAAAGGTCCCCCTGGAGGAAGGGCAGCTCATGTGCCGTCTACACAATTGTTCTGGTTTGCGTTTGGGACTTCAAGGTCAGGAGCCGGGTAGCACAATGGTCAGGCCTCGATCTGCTACGTAAACGTCAGGGTTCAAACCCACCCATTGTTCCTCAGGAGAAAAATGTGACAGTCTGGCTTCCATGACAGCCTTGAAAAGCCTACGGGCCAGTTCTCCTCGGTCCTACAGGGATGTGATGTCCACACCACGGCTCTGGGCAGGAGTCAGTAGACCCCCTTCCCACCTGGCCCTGGGAAGTGAGGGCAGCTACAGTGGGCAGGTACCCTCCTGATAGGCTGGGTTCTGTAGAGAAATAAAGCCAGCGACTGCTGTGTACATAAAGAGAGAAATTTATATCAAGGAAGTGGTGTACACAGGTGTAGAAGCAGGCAGGTCCACCAGTCCCGTTCAAGTCTATGGGTCAGATGTTAAGCGGGCGGGCTTTTCTGATTTGAATACCTGGTGGGACTAACAAAGCGGGCAGCAGAAAGATGACGGACGCAGGGAGACCCCGGCTGGTGGGTGACTCCCAGGTCGTCAGGCCGGGTGGCAAACCATAGGGTTCAGAAGGAGGGGGGTTGGAGCAGAGACCGAAAGCCCATCTGTAGACAATGGAAGATCCCCCACAGAGGGGTCACAGGGAAGGGATGAGTCAACCAGGGTGCAGTAAAGCACGGAAGAAATACACAGCATTCCTCTGGTTCCTTGAGGCTTCCTCACAGCAGGCGATATGGCGAGCCGTTTGCTCACATCCAAAGAACCGGAGATTGGCGCGCCGGATGCAGAACGCAGACAAGAAAGAAGAAGCCCTCCACAGCATCTACTCATACAGGAAGGAGTCCACCTGGGGACTGCGACCTGACTAAGGGGCTGCCCTCCTCCCTGGTCTTCCCACCACTGCGTAGCTGCTCACGGCAGCTGTCATCGTGGAGCCGGTGATGTTATGTTAGGTCACATCACTGTGTGATGAGGGAAGAGGGCGGCCGGTGCTCAGGTGTCAAGCTCCTGAGAATCCTGTCCCAGCCAAGTTGACACAAAACCTAGCTCTCACCCATCCCTTTCTGAGCTGTGACTGTGGGAATTCACACGGGTGCAAATGCTTTGAAAGCTCTGAAAGGCGATGTTTAAGAATGCATGTGGAAGTACAATACATAATCCACTTCAACCCATGAATGAGGCCCCCGTGGTCCCGTGGGAGAGTTTTTTTTTTAAGGAAAAGGGAAGAAATGTATTGGAGCCCAGACGGGAAACCCTAGAGGGGCCCAGCATCCCCTACTGTGCAGCATGTCCAGCAAAGGGTCACACCATTCACTGAACCCCCATGTCCCAGAGGGACTCCCCTTGAGCTGAGCCCCAAGGCCCCAGGACTGGCTGGGGGTGGGGACCCGTGGGAGAGTTCTTGCCTTTCCGACGGGGTCCAGCTGCAGCCCCACGCACCTGTCAACAGAGACTTGTGTGCGGCCTTGATGCTGAACAGGCTTCAGCATGGGCTTCCACCGAAGACCAGGAAGAAAGACCTGACCGTCCCCTTCGGAAAATCCGCAGGTGAAAACCCTTCGGCTCCCAGCGCTCCAATCTGTGACCCATTGTGGGGACGGTGTGGGACTGAGCAGTGTGTCGGTCTGCTGTGCCTATGGAGCCTCCGGGGGCTGGGGTTCCGCTCCACAGGAACATCCACATCACCCAAGTGTCCATCCGTGGATGACAAAGTGTAGGAGATGCAGCTATTCAAAGGAATGGAGATCTGAGCCATGCCACGCTGTGGAAGCATTCAGCGAGGTGAAAGAGCCAGATGGAAAGGTACAAATATTGTGCCTGCCATGCCGATGAGATACCTGGAACACACGCATTCACAGGACACAGAGCCGGGGTTCCTAAGGGTTGTCGTTGTTCCGTGCTGTAGGGTTGGTCTGACTTATAGCCATTCTCTCTGCGTACCACGGAAGGAAGCGCCACCTGGTCCCGCGCCATCCTCACGTGGTTTTCATGTGCCAGCCCACTGTGTCAGTCCTTCCTGTCAAAGTTCTTCCTGGTGTTTGCTGTCCCTCTGCCTTACCAAGCATGATGGTCTTCTCTAGGGACTGGTCTCTCCTGATAGTGGCTGGGGCCTGCTAGGCAAGTCTGCTGCCGGAGACCCAACAAACCTTAACCCACTGTCCCTGAGTCACTTCCGACCCGCAGCAACCCCGGAGAGGGTTTCTAAGACTGTGAAAAAATTTAAGACAGCTTTATGGGCATATAATTCACAAATTATATAATTCAATAGTTCAATCATATTAAGAAGAGTTGTACAGTCATCACCACAATCAATTTTAGGGCATTTTCTTCATTTTTGTAGTCATCCTTATTACCTCCCGGTCCCCCTGCCCACCTCCACCCCAACCTTCCTTGCCATTCCCCTAAGGGCCCATCAATCCAGTTCCTGTCTCTATAGATTTACCAGCCTGGATTTCATATACAGAAAAACATTTAGTAAAAAAAAAATACTAACAACAATAACAGAAAAAGCCCTCAATCAAAAACAAAGCAGAAAATATTAAAAACTAGAACAAATTTTAAATGGGTCAAACAGGAGATCAAATGATAAGATGTATTTAACCTAAATACATCTGCCATAATTGACTTTGCAATGCTTTCTGTCAGATAACAACGCTATTCACACCCCTCAACTATGGTCAGAGGGGATTCACCAGAGGCTTATCCATGCGTGGACCCTGTGAATGGACTTGGGACTTCCACCGTCATCCGTAGCCTTCTGCAACCCAGGTGTTTGCAACTGAAGATCTGACACCATTCCCTCCTTTGGATTCGGATTTTAATATTTGCAATCCCTGGGTCACACAGGCTGGTGTGCTTCTTCCATGTGGAGTTAGTACACGCCTCACTTAGTTGGCTGCTGTTTGAAGACAAGCCTTTAAGACCCCAGATGCTATCCATTCTGCTGCCTGCGCACCACCTAGTTTCTTCACCATACTTTGCGACAGCACCCATATCTTCAGCGATCTCTTCATGAGGGTGAGAAGTAAGCAGAGCCCCGAGACGGTAACTCTTTATGGGAGCAGACAGCTTCAATGTTCTCCTGAGGAGCTGCTGGTGGTTTCAAACTGTGAACGTTGCAGCTGGCAGTCCTACCCCCTGACCTGACAGTGCCATCAGGAATCCTGCACCGTGCAGAAGAGCAAGGATGTCACTGTGAGGACTAAGGTGCCCCTGACCCAAGCCATGGTGTTTTCAATCACCTCCTATTCATGTGAAAGCTGGACACTGAATAAAGAAGATCGTAGAAGAGTTGGAGTCACCTTGGTGGTGTAAGGTGTTAGGCTGCTAACGGGGAGTTCGACTGTTCAAAACCAAGGGCCATCCTTCAGGAGACAGATGAGGCTCTCTAGTCCCATAAAGATTTACAGTCTCAAAAATCCATGGGTGCAATTCTATTTGTCCTATCGTTGTGAGTCTGAATCCACGCGATAGCTGTCAGTGGTAGAAGAATTGATGCCTTTGAATTACGGTGTTAAGGAAGACTGCTGAAAGTAGCATGGTCTATCAGAAAACCAAACAACTCTGTCTTAGAAGCAGTACCACCAGAATGCTCCTTAGGATTGGGGATG